ATATATATAAGATTTTTATAGTAGCGGCCACTGTGAATTACAACAATATAAGGTCGGCCTATAAGAGTAAATATATTATTAGTAAATTTGATGATGATAATGGTGATGAGAAAAGAGTGCGTAGTTTGTACTCAGTTTTTTTTTGCATCTATCGAATTTAAAAAAAAAAAAAAAGAAAAAAAATAGAAAACACACACACACACAAAATGCGACGTGTAGCCGATAACGTTAGGAAAAGAAAAGAAGAAAAAAAAAAGAAATAATAATAATATATAGAAACACACACAGCTGATAATTGTGTAAATGCGTTTTTAACAGAGTTGTGCGTCTTAGTAAAAAATTGATTTTTTCCCTTTGCGTTTGGAGTTTAAAAAAACGAAAAAGGGTGAGACAGGAGTAAAGGGGTGAGGGGGTGAAAGAAGAATCACAATTTGCGCGCAGTTACTTAAATTTTTTTAAATTAACGAGTTATGCGACGAATATTTTCTAAATTCAATTTGTGCAATAAAAACAAACGAAAAAGTAGCAATAAACAAACTAACAAGCAAATAATCATCTACATTTTGTGGAAGACACTTTACGTAATTAACATAAAAAGAAAAAGAAATGAAATGAAATGAAACGAAACGAAACGTACGGTCGTCGAGATCGGGATTTTTCTACTCTTTTGTTTTTTCTTATGTTTTTTACTTGTTATATCAATAACGAATCGTATGAACCACAAAAACAAATGAAAAAGAAATAAAAACCAATAATCCAGAACAAAGGGAAACATCTGTTAATTAAGTCGATCGAAAAAAGAAAAAGAAAAAAGAAGAAAGGAAAAAAGAGAGAAAAAACAAATCCTATTGGGATTTATCGGAAAACTATTTTTTGTTTGATTCACGTAGTGTGCATCGAATATGGCCGACAAATGAAAGCACGTTGTCCGCCATTGTTGTCTTGTTCGTTGTCGTTCTGCTGCCATTAGAAAATAATCATTTAACACTAGATTTACGAATTGAGCCAATTTGACTCATTGAACATTTGATTATTTTATATATTTATAAAATTTAAATACTATTTTTTGAAAACTTATTGGTTTTTAGTTACGTAATGAAATATACGTAAATATTAGTTCAATTCCTTTACTCAATCCTTTATTCAAACAATGTTATTACGTCATTAAAAAATAATGAACAAAACATCCGTAAATCTAGTGTTAAATAGAATTTAAAGAAAGAACAAGAGAGAGAGAGAGAGAGAGAGAGAGAGAGAGAGAGACACGACAAAGACCAGAATTTAACGCGAAAATTTCTAACTCTTAAAAACAACAATACTTTTTATTTATTTGATAAATATTTTTCCACGAATCGAGATAATGCCGACGATGTGGTCCCATGTGTATCGAGAGAAACGTGTATACTGTGAAATAAATAGAAAAACAAAAATAAAAATAGAAAAATAAATAATACTAAAAGAAAAAGAGAGAAAGGAAAAGAGAGAAAAAGTAGACAGTGAAAAAAAAACAAAACAAAAACAAAATAACAGATAAAAGATGACGGATAAAAAATGAATTCTAACCTAAAAAAAATTTTTTATATATGAACAAACGAAGAGTAATATTTTAAAATGTTTTGTGCAAGACATTTTTTGGATCAGCAACATTTGGCGAGACGTGATCATCGTTCGAAAAAATATAAAAACCGAATAAAAAGAAAACAAAAGTAAAAAAAAAAAAAAAAAAATAAATAAAAATAAAAAGGAGGAAACAAAAAGAAATGCAAGAATAGAAATGCAGTTCTCTCAGCAATAATTTTTTCCATCCTATCTATCCTCTTCTCTTGGTTTGTCTTTCTCGTTGTTATTTCCGTTTTCGTGTGTGTTCACAAATAATATATAAAATAAGAGGAAAAAGATAAATGTAAAAAAAGAATAAAATAAAAAAAATAAAAGAGCGAGAGAGAGAGAGGAATAGAGAAATTCAATTAAATACAAAAGTTAACATTTAAATACGAAAATTCACACAGCAATAATAATAATAATAATAAAATTAATATTAATAATAAACATAATAATATAATAATAATAATAATAATAATAATAATAATAATAATAATAATAATAATAATAANTATTATATTAAAATAATAATAATAATAATAATAATTATAATATAATATGCAATATTAATAATATTAAAAATAATTAATAAAAGATAATATTATTAATACGCAATATTATATTTGAATATATATTATATTTACAAAATATTATATAATATATTATAATAATAACGAGGAAATATTTAGAAGAGAGAAAAAAAAAATGAAGTCAACAAATAAATAAATAATTAAAAACGAGAAATCACGTCACGCACAAAAGCATAATCATTGACAATGGAGGAGGTGATACGCATGATCGTCGTTGTCGTCGTCGTTGTCGGCCTTCTCTCTTTATTGTCTCCGATAGAAAAGAAAAGAAAAGAAAAGAAAAAAAAAAGAAAATGGAAAAACACGTAAAAAAAAACATACTAACGATGCACTTTAGAACGCGTGTACGTGCATAAAAATGTTAAAAGAAGAAAAAAATCCCATAAGATCGCGCATTGTTGTTGATTCGTTCTGATAGAAAAGTGTGAGGAAAGTATACATACAAAAATTAAAAAAACAACAATATATATAATAAACATGAAGTAAATAAAAAAAATAGATGATTATATACAAAAAAAAAAAATTAACGAATATAAATGAACGAGTGAAAAAAAATATATACATATATATATATATATATATAATATAGAAAAAAAAATAGCCAATCGCACCTCTCTTCTAGTGTATCTACACTCTTTTAAAAAACAAAAAAGTTTAGATGAAATACATTACATATATATATATATATACATATGCATATACGTATTTGTACAATACGAAAATCTTTTGTTTGTTTTCTCGGACAGACCAAGATGGTTCTTCGATTTTCTTATACATTTCGAGAAAAAAAAACCACGTGCATATGCATCAACACACACGTATATATATATGTAATAATATCTAGTAATAATTAATGTTCTCTTTGTAAAGTTATAATGAAAATCTATATGACATAACCTATAAAAAGAAAATGATAAAAAACGACATTAATTATTACTAGATTTCAAAAATATCTTTCTCCTTGTTTCAAATATTTTTTAATGAATTATTATCATCATCATTATTATTATTATTAATGAGGAAGGTATTTATATATATATATATATATAAATGTGTGTTTGTGTGCATGCACGCGCGTGTATTTCTATGCCGATCGTATTTGCGAGAAAGTTTTCTTCGCATTTGTACAAAATAAAAAGAAAGAAAAAAAAGAAGAAAAAATAGGGAAAAAAGAATATATATACAGAGAAAGAAAATTACGACCGAAAGGATTAATCGATATATAAACGATTTTAAACGATCTTTCACGAACAGACATTAAATGATCTTTCACGAGCAGAGAAAATGGGGACGTTATTTCCGTCACATCATTTTATTTTTTGTTTTCTTTTTTTTTTTTGTTGGTTTCGTTTCTCTCTTCTTTTTTTTTTTTTTTTGGTTATTTTTCACCTACTAATGTGTCCAAATTCAATTTTTGTTTTATACATATCGAATATTGTGCGGTATTGGTACAACGATTTGTTTTTTATTTATTTTTTTTTTTAAATTTATATTTTATATTCTTCTTTCGGAGTAGTTGAAAAGGTGGTGAAACGATTCGTGCCAAGAAAGATCGATAATAGAATATTTCGCGAGTCAAACAAACGTACGTACAAAGAATCTTATTAATAAAATAAATAGTAAATTTATAAAGTGTGTCCGATAAATTGGTGATACGAAATAACAGAGGAATAATTTTCAACTTTTGCAAATAAGAAAAAAATATATAAAATCTAGTACGAATAAATTTGATTCTACATTTTCATGTAAATAATAAAAATCATCATTCCCTGTTAGTTTTGTAATATCAATTTTAGGGACACCCTGTATACTTTTTCTACTTATACATTTACACGCGTACGGGGTTAAAACAAGACGTCCATTTCTCTGTTCGATGATCGTTCAGGTATATATGTATACATGTAAGAAAATAAAAGTGAAACAAAAAAACCGTATAGAATTACCTATCAGGTATACATACATACATATATATATATATATATATTAAATATAAAGCATATAAGTTAAATTAGATTTTCAGCGAAATATGTAGAGAAAAATGAATGGAAAGAAAACAAGAGGGAAAAAAGAAAGAGAAAAAAACGAGATAAGAAAGTTAAGGGTTTTTAAAAGTTATAGGTTAGGATTTGACGAAGTTGTAATACGTTGAAAGAGTATACACAAGTGTATGTGTGTGTGTGTGTGTGTGTGTGTCGAGAGAGAGAGAGAGAGAGAGAGAGAGAGAGAGAGAGAGAGAAAGAGAAAGAACGAATTTTTTGTGAAAATTTATCAATTCGGCGACACAATTAACATACTCCATGCCTTACGAATAATAGAAATAATGCGAGTACACGTAAGAGTGACGTAGATAGATCGTTAATTAAGTAGTGAAATTAATATTAAGATCGAAGGAAAAAGAAAATGAGTGAGAATGAGTAATAGAGAGAAAGAGAGAGAATGAGAATGAAAAGACAAATTGTTCAGAATTTTATTCACGAAATAGGATTTTCGAATTCTAACCTCTACTACAGTAGACGCAAATAATGGGCCAATCGTCGTACGAGGAAAGAAAAAATTGACGCCAAAGGGATTCATATAATAATTTTAATCTTTTTCAAGCATATTTGAATTTTCAAATGAACAGCATAATATTTTCTATCTCATTTTGTTTGATGAAGTTTTAAAGAAAATTATTATTTTATATAACATATATATATATATGAAATAAGAACATTGTCTCGTTTAGTTGTAAAAATTTGCTTTTGGATTTAAAGTTTTTACGGAAAAAAACAGGAAAGAGAAAAAAACAGAAAAGAAAAGATGTCGAAAATTTATGGACCTGATCGTAAAATGGAATGTTCACGATTTTGACCAACCAAAGTGGTCAAACTCGTTTCAAACCTTTTCTTTTTTTTTCTTTCTTTATTTTATCGCAATGTTCGTTTCCAGACCATTTTCATTTTACGACTAAAGAGAGAGAGAGAGAGAGTGATTTCTTTTTTTTTCTTATTTTCCTCTCACGAAAGAGGATTTTCTTTCCTCGCGTGTACATATACGATCGTGTTTGCCCATATTCTTACCACGGTTTTTATTCGTAGCTAATAGTTAATTAGTATACTACTTTACTGTAGGGAAAAAGAAAAAAAGTAAAAGAAAAAAAAAATTAATAAGAAACAAAAAAGGGATGGTGACGTGCTGTGTTAAAAGTCGAACGACGACGTTAAAATTATTATTATTTTTTTTTTTTTCAAAGTAGACAGATAAAAAAAGTAAATATACGAATAAAACCAAGTTATTAGCTACACCCACACACATACACGCAACATACATAAATATAAAAAACGTACACGTATTAAAAAAATTACCACAAAATAGAGATAAGTAAAAGGTTACGTAGCTCGTTATATTATAAATATTTTATTTGTCCAGAGCTTTAGAGGAAAGAAAAAAAAGGAAGATGGAAAAAGATCGAATGAAAAAAAAATTCGAGATTTTTACAATTACACAAAATATAATGAAGTAAATATGTAGCGTGGAATTTTTGAATTACTGCCGAGCGTGCCCTCTCGTCGTTGTCGCTCGAAATATTAAAAAAAAAAATGGCATCCGGGCCACGTGACACGCGCTACATCAGCAATTGATACGCATTGAGGTTAACTTCGAATCGAACGGATGAAATTCGCGTTATTTAAACATTGTTTTCTCTCCTCGACGAAAAGAAATAAGGTTTTTTTTTTTTTAATATGATTTGTCTTTTACTTCAATTTTTTTGGTTTCTTTCGTAGTATTCATTACAACACTCGGAAAATACGTATTGAAACGTAGCCATATTGGAATTGTTGTTATTATTATATACGTACATACATATATATATATTTTTTTTTGTTCCCGTTATTTTTAACCTTTTTATTTCTTCTATATTACTCTTACAATTCTTTCCGTTTCTACCTTGATTTTTAATTATTTTGTTTTTAATATAAAAATATCGCAAGCAGACATTGCAAGTTCCTACGAATTTCATACGCGTCACGTTTATTACCACGAATTCGATTTGATCGCAGTAATAGTACACTCACGGCCAAAGAAAAAGAAAGATACACAGTACATATTTACTACATATATATATACATATTAACAGAAAATAAAAAAAATAAAACCATAAAAACATAAAAGTCAGCAATTTTGACGATAGTTACCGAATGTATATTAGTGCACAGTGAGCGCTTTTATTCTCGTAGAATAAAAAATAAACGTTGAGAAAAAAAATATAATAATATATAAATAGTAGTTTATATATATATATAATATATATAAATATTATACGAAAGAAAGGGCCTATTGTATGTGCATATGTAAGTGTATGTATGTATATACATATGCATAACTTAATCGAGTCAAAGATAAACCACACAATTACAACGACATATGGGACATGTACATCATCACACATACGCGTGACACAGACACAGAGAAGAGGAGATAGATAAGAAACGAAGAAAAAACAAACAGGGAGGGGATAAAGATGGCGAACGTGTCGATACTTACTTCGAATAAACAACGTAGCATAATATGTTTTACGCAAACACACATTGTAATTAATAATGAAATAATCTAGTTATTAAATATTAGTTAGTTAGGCATTATGGAAATGGGTGTTCATATACGCGTGTAGCTGATTCATAAAATTATCAGATGTTTATTAATTAACACGTACAACACACATCCGTACGATCTTTAAGGACCTCTCGTTATTATAGTCTATATAATATATTTAAATACAAATATATGTAAGCTCTTGGAAGCTCAACGTCACGTGAAATAGTTCAAGTTGGAAACTCATCGATCAGTTTCCTTTATATTTTATTTTTTTCCTTTTTTTTTTTTATTAGTTAGATTTCAAGATGGTGTCGATAGTTCAATAGTCGTGTTTGTTGATAATCACGTAAGTGAAACGTAGTTCAAAGTCTATCTGTGTTTCTGCTGTTATTATTATTATTATTATTTTATTAAATATAATTATTATTACATGTATATGATCATAATAATGATGATGATGATTATTATTATTATTATCATCATTATTATTAATAATATTATTAAGTTAATTAATTTGTAGAAATTGGAAGTGGATACGAAGAAAAGTGTGAATAACTATTTTTGTTTTTAGGCATATTAGAAATGATTGAGTAGTAAGAGTGCAACAATTATAAGAGTAATGTTAAGTTTAAAAAAAAAAATGGAGGAATAGTCACGAAAATACACCAAAACAACTTCGTGATACATTTGAATTGTTATTTAATTTGAAATACATATTTGCGAAATTGCGAATCACGTGACGTTAAGTATTCTACGAAATGAAAACAAAAACAAAACAAAAAAACAAACAAGTGATTTTTGCAATACCTTTTTTGGTGTAATTTAAGAGAAGCATTCGCGTGCGCGCGCGCGCGCGCGCTCGCCTGCGCCATTTATGCGAGTACTGCGCCATTTCAATGCGTGCGCATGCTCGTAAACCTAACCTCCCCCTCCCCGCGCGCGATTCCATAATATATAATCCCGCGGTTGTGATAAGAAAAAAAAAAAATAACCTCTGTTGTTACACCATGTAAATTTAATTAATGATATAATTAATGAATTATTATTTGTAGGAAGAACTCTGGTCTTTGTAAGAAGAGATCCCCATTTTTCTTTTTTTTTTTTAGATTTACGCGGCTTTAATATAATATTATCCTTGATTTTTTTGTTGTGTCATTATTTAGAATTTTCTCTCTGTGTTATTTTTAATAAATTCCATGCATTATTTTGTTTATATATATATATATATATTTTTTTTTATTATCTCTATTTTGTTTATATATATATATATAGAGAGAGAGAGAGAGAGAGAGAGAGAGAGAGAGAGAGAGACACGACAAAGACCAGAATTTAACGCGAAAATTTCTAACTCTTAAAAACAACAATACTTTTTATTTATTTGATAAATATTTTTCCACGAATCGAGATAATGCCGACGATGTGGTCCCATGTGTATCGAGAGAAACGTGTATACTGTGAAATAAATAGAAAAACAAAAATAAAAATAGAAAAATAAATAATACTAAAAGAAAAAGAGAGAAAGGAAAAGAGAGAAAAAGTAGACAGTGAAAAAAAAACAAAACAAAAACAAAATAACAGATAAAAGATGACGGATAAAAAATGAATTCTAACCTAAAAAAAATTTTTTATATATGAACAAACGAAGAGTAATATTTTAAAATGTTTTGTGCAAGACATTTTTTGGATCAGCAACATTTGGCGAGACGTGATCATCGTTCGAAAAAATATAAAAACCGAATAAAAAGAAAACAAAAGTAAAAAAAAAAAAAAAAAATAAATAAAAATAAAAAGGAGGAAACAAAAAGAAATGCAAGAATAGAAATGCAGTTCTCTCAGCAATAATTTTTTCCATCCTATCTATCCTCTTCTCTTGGTTTGTCTTTCTCGTTGTTATTTCCGTTTTCGTGTGTGTTCACAAATAATATATAAAATAAGAGGAAAAAGATAAATGTAAAAAAAGAATAAAATAAAAAAAATAAAAGAGCGAGAGAGAGAGAGGAATAGAGAAATTCAATTAAATACAAAAGTTAACATTTAAATACGAAAATTCACACAGCAATAATAATAATAATAATAAAATTAATATTAATAATAAACATAATAATATAATAATAATAATAATAATAATAATAATAATAATAATAATAATAATAATAATAANTATATGTATATACATATATATGTATTTATCTATGTATGTACGTATTTATGTATATAACTTATTTTATGCGTCATTTCCGTTATATCATTCGATATAGTATATTTATATATCCTGTTATTATTTTTAATTTTATTATCTTTCTTTATTTCCTTTCTTTTTTATTTTATCATTGTTATTATTATTATTATTATTATTATTATTATTATTATTATTATTATTATTATTATTATTATTCTTTTAAGATTACAAAGAGAGAAAGAGAGTAAGAGAGAAGATAAGAAAATGATCTTTAATTTTCACGTTCTTACAATAAAATTGTATTATTATTACTATTATTATTATTATTTTAGATTAATACAATGAAAAAAAACTTCTCTTTCTCTTTTCTTTTTATTTTAGTCTTTGTTTTTTTTTTCAATTACGGGTAAGCCTCGAGATAATTTGAGCAGGAGTTTGAAATAAACAATTTTGCTTTTGTGTTTATCCAATTCTGTAAAATATTTAGCATGCACAAATAACAATATGCTTTCCTAGTTCTCCACCACCCTTAAAAAAAAATCAACCCAACAACCCTGTCTTCTTGTTTCCTTATTATTTATTTAAATTTTTATCTTTGTTGGAAGATGTTTTGAAAGAAGATAAAAAGAAAAGCAGATAAAA